CTTGGTTCTCCTCCTTCCTATCTGACTGCTATTTTTCAGTTTCCTTTGCTGGTTTTTTTATCCATGTCACACAAATTAACCGTGAATATTCCTTAATATTCCATTCTTGGCCCTCCTTATCTTTTCCTTCTATACCATCTCATTTGGAGATCTCATCAGCTGTCAGTGGGTTAAATTATCATCTTTTTGCAGATGATTCCAGATCTGTCTACTGATTTCCACTTTCTTTCCTAAGCTATAATTACACATCATCACCTGCTGTACTCATCTTTTTCCTTAAACTTTCCTTAAATTATCTGAATTTTCCTATTAATACTGAAGGTACCACTGTCCTCTCACTCATCCAGGCTTGAAAGCTTGGTGTCATTCTTGACTCCTACCTCTCACTTACCCCACATATCAAGTCATTTGCAAAATCTTGTTGTTTCTACCTTCACAATATCTCTTACATATGACCCCTTTTGTTCAGGCCTATCTCACATCTTGCTTGAACAATGTCCTTTTAATTGGTATCCCTGCCTCAAGTTTCTCCCACTCTAATCTGTCTTCCACACTGATACCAAAATGATTTTCATAAAGCAAAATCATGTTACTGTGTCAGTAAATTTCAGTGGTTCCCCGTTAGTGGACAAACACACACACACACACACACACACACACATACATACATACAAGTGAAAGATAGTATGATTCAATCTGCATTCAGACTCTATCAGTTCTTTCTCTGGAGCTGGATAGCATTTTGGAATTGTCTTGGATAGACAATGAAGTGATATAAAAAATTTTACAGCAAGTTTCTCTGATAAAGGCCTTATTTTTCAAATATATACTGGATATAGAACTGAGTCAAATTTATAAAAATAAAAGCCATTTTCCAGTTGATAAATAGTCAAAGAATATAAACAGGCAGTTCAGAAGAAAAAATCAAAGCTATCTATAATCATATAAAAAATGTCCTAAATCACTATTGATTAAAGAAATGTAAAAAAAACCAAAACTCTAAGATACCACCTCACACCTATCGGATATGACAAATGCTGGAGAGGATGAGGGAAAAATAGGTACACTAATGACCTGCTGGTAGAATAGTGAACTGGTCCAACTATTCTGGAGAACCATTGGAATTATGCCCAATGGGCTATAAAACTGAGCATATGCTTTGACCCAGCAACACCATTACTAGGTCAGTATCCCAAAGAGACCAAGGAAAAAGGAAAAGGACCTATATGTACAAAAAATATTTATAGCAGCTCTTTGTGTGGTGGCAAAGACTTGGAAATTGAGGGGATGTTCATCAGTTGGAGAATGGCTAAATAAGCTGAGGCATATGACAGTGATGAAGTACTATTGTGCTATAAGAAATGACAAGGGGAGTGGTTTCAGAAAAACATGGCAAGGTTTATATCAACTGATGCAAAGTGAAGTGAGAAGAACCAGCAGATCACTGTGCACAGTAACAGCAACATTATAATGATGATTAACTCTAAAAGTCTTGGCTACTCTGATCAATACAATGATCCAGAGCAATTTCTAAGGGCTCATGATGAAAAAATGCTATCCACCTCCAGAGAGAGAACTGATAAACTCTGAGTACATGTTGAAGTATAATTTTCTCACTTTATTTTTCTTTCTTTTTTTGAAATATGGTTAATATGGAAATATGTTTTGCATGATTTCACATGTATAATTGATATCACATTGCTTGCCTTCTCAGTGGGTGTGGGAGGGAGGAAGAGAATTTAGAACTCAAAATTTAAAAGAATGTTAAAAAATAATAAAATTTGAAAATGAAAAAATAAAGATGTGTGTATACACATATATACACATACATGCATACACATATACATACACACATACACACACACACACACACACATACTTCAAAGGTACAATAAGAACAATTTCTCCACCCCAAAACTTTGGGAAGGGAAAACATAATCCTCCCTATACCGTCTTTTTGTTCTGGGAAGGAAAGGTGGATTAGGTTCATATATACTCAGTTCCTATACAGCAAAGTTCCATCAAGTTGTCATCATGGCTCTAGCTCCAGGGTCTGGGGACCCCTCACCTTCTGCACCTAGGACAAATGAGACAGACCAAAACCCCAAGCCTGGTTCTCAGAGTCACATGACCTAAAGCGAGAGGAGGATGGTAACCTCCCTATGTGGTGCTCATGCTATGGTGCTTCCTGCATGGGCCTCTTGCTGTGTGGGTGAGGAAGACCTCACCCTTTGATGCTGCCAGAAGGAGACTGACCCAGGCTGGTAGTTTTAAAGATACAGACTGTCCTAGTGATGTAGCCAGTGGTCAAAGGCTGCTCCCATTCAATTACCTATGGCAGGGGAATGCAGAATGTCTTCTTCCAGAATCATGTCCCTGATGTCTTCCATATTGGATACTGCCTCCATCTTAGGTAAGCTGGGCCTATGCAGAGCCCTCTTATACTAATTTTTTTACATTTAATTTTAATTTTATTTTTTCTCAATTACATGTAAACAAACATTTTTTAACATTTTTTTTAAATTTTGAGTTCCATATTGTCTTCCTCCCTCCCCTCCCCAGTACTTGAGATGGCAAGCAATTTGATATAGATTATATATGTGTAGTCATGCAAAACATTTCCACATTATCCATGTTGCAAAAGAAAATGCAGACAAAAAAACAAACAAACCCAAACACCCAGAATAATAAAGTTTAAGAAAAAGGTGCTTCAATCAGCCTTTAGACTTCACCAGTTCTTTCATTGGAGGTGGATAGCATCCTATTACACTATTAATGTAAGAAGGCCAGACTTCTGGATTGAATCAAGTCCTTAATCCATTTGGGAGAAGTAAAGAGCTTTTGATCCAATGATTAAAATTAGATGATGGCACACAGAAACTATACTGTGATTGGTTGAACGAATTAGAAACACCCCTGGACCTATGGATATTAGAGAAGGAATTTGAGCAAAAAGGCAGTCAAAATTCTAGAGGGCTTGGACGAGGTGAGCTCCTTACCCTTTTACCAGAGGACAACAAAAGGGTAGTATGACTATGTCATCAAAGAGACTGGGCCAATAATAAACAATGTTTCCAGTCAGGAGATGAGAGAGTATCTAAAACTAAACATGCTGAGAAAAGGCAGCTTTTCAGGGTGGGGTTTAAGTACAGCTATGGATTCTACAAAGGCATTGACCTTCGGAGACCCTGCAGAGATCTATACCTTGGGGGAACTTCATGAGAATTCCATGGAGAGAGAAAAGGACTTCTAATAATCTGGAGCTGTGAGTTCACCCTTTTACCACTGTGTTTTCTACTTGTACGATTTACCATTGACTTTAAATTTATGCCCACTTGCCCCATGGACTCTGTTTGTACTTGTGAGAGAATGGGTCTCAGACTTTTGGGGGGGATTGGTTTTGTACAAACTTTTATACCAACTTTTCTTCTTATACCAACTTAGTAAATACCCCTTCTTAAAGCTAATTAAATCTGTCTGTTAATCATTGAGAAGCACAAGTGATTGGGCCTTGTAAGCACAGTATTAGAAGACTCCTAGTTATCATTAGAGGTAACAATGTTACCTCTTGGACCCTGAGGGAAGAAGCAAAACACCAGTGGGAGTGGGAATTGGGAGAGTGAGCTCATAGAGTGTACTAGATGTTAATAAAAAAGCAAATTGTAAAGAAATTCATGGTTTCATATACATCCCTCTCTATTCTACTTTTAAAATGGAAATAATTTGTTTTCATTAAGTTCGGAATTTTAAAGTGAACAAAAAGTTTCTGTATACAAAAAAATTCACAAAAGCCCTTTTGTGGTAGTGAAAAACTGGGAACAAAGGAGGGGCTCATTGATTACGGAGTAGCTAGGCAAATTGAGGTTGCATTAATGTAATGAAATGCTATCGCACTGTAAGATACAATGAATGTGAAGAATTCAGAGGACAGGAAAACTAGCATGAACTGTTGCAGAATCCACTTCCTGCTGAGACAGATAAGAGTTCCAATAGAGACCAGGATTTTTAGTGACTGAGAGGAGAGTAATAAATTGGACCTGGAATAGGGAATGGGTAGATTGGGATGGGCACTGAGAAACAGGTGTGAGGGAGAGAAGATAGTATCAGAATTCGAAGGTCTCAAGGTTGGGCAGGATGGAATGAATAGATATCATTTGAGATAGAGTGGAGAGATTATTGTGTGTATATGGGACGCACAATGCAAGATATGATAGGAGATGGAGATAGGGAGATGAAGGGCTCTGGGGAAAAGAAAGGAAGAGAGGGAGTGAAGTAAGGATCATGCTGAAGTTTGTCTTGAAGGGTTTTTAACATTTTTTCTTTATTTTTGTCGTGGACCTCTTTGGCAGTATAGTGAAGCCTATGTACTATTCAGAGTAATATTTTTAAATGCATAAAATAAAATACATAAGATTATAGGGGAAATTATATATTAAAAGTTATCAATATATTAAAAAAATACACGGACTTCCTGAAATCTCCATGGACCTGAGAACCTCTGCTCTAAATGAACTTGCCCCCATCTTAAATCTGGGCTGGACTCATTTTGGCCCTCTCTCTCCTTCCTTGGGTGCTTCCAGTCGCGGCTGAGTGACACTGCTAGGACAGGGTCACTGAGACCACCAGCCAGGTACTGGGCGGGGCGGGGTGGTGGTGGTGGTGAACAGGTAGGGGGTTGAGAGGTGCATGCACTGGAGCAGAGAAGTACAGAAACCCAGAACCCAGAGACAGCTGCAGAGATGACGGTAGAGAGGGAGCGACACAAATGAACCAGACAAGTCAATGAAGAAGGGACAGGCTGGCGGACTGGGAGAGTCGGGATAGCGTAGTGAGAGGTGCGACGCTGGGACCAGGAGAGCTGTCTGTCTGTCTGTCTGTCTGGCCTCGCCCCCACCCCGCCCTCCCCTTTTGAGGACCCGCCCCTCACTCTCCCCTCCCCCTCCCGGCCACAGCTGCTTCCGGAGTCTGCTGTTCGGCTCCGGCCTCCAGCAGAGGTCCAAACCCCCAACTCGGGGACCCTGGAGGGCACGTTGCGCCTGCGGTCCGGAGTCTGGGCCGCTCCCTCTGCCTCCTTTGGGGGAGGGGTCTCGCTCGCTGGCACTGGACCCTCGGACACCCAACAGAACATCCGCTGACCTTGGCCGAAGTCCCGGCCCCGCTGCTGACCCAGGGATTGGCCTGGACAGATTATGGGGTTTTGAGACCTCCCAAATCCAAAGCGTGCGGGGGAAACTTGAATCCAGAGAAGAGTTTTTCAGGAGGGTGGACCACACCACCCGTTTTCTATTTGCAGACCTCCCCTCCAGCATAGAAGCAGATTGCAGGGTATACAGCTCTCCTACTCTATATACAGAGGAACCTGTGGATCTTGGAACACTTTGAGGGGCCTCATTTCCTGGGAGCACCATCGCCCATTTTCCAGTGCATCTTGGGCTGTGGCATTGGTGAGTTGAAACTTGGGGTGCCACTTTATAGGGCCCAGAATCCTAAACAGCAGGAAGACTTTTGTGGTAGTGCAAGGCTTTGCTATACCCCAAGGCATTCTTGGAATCTTTGTGGGGCATTAATGAATTTGGAGGCTCATAGTTTCCCCAGTCTCTATCCTGGAATCTCCAGTAACATTTTTGGGAGTGAAAAGTGCCCCCTCAGACCTTAAAAGGAGGGAACTGAACCTGATTGAAAGTTGGGAGTCCTTGCAGAACTACCAGGGACCAAACAGGAACCTTTCCTTGGAGCTGGAACAGAACCTGGCATCTGGGGAGCCCCTCCCGACCTCCTGCCTGACGGCCAGAGGAACACTGGAGGAGATCCAGAAGTCTAGGGGGTTCCCCTTGGCCATTACCAAAACTATGTTTCTTCGACGTCTTGGTGGCTGGCTGCCCCGTTCCTGGGGCCGCCAAAAAGATCCCCTGCCTGAGCCTGGCCCTGTAAGGGAGGATAGCTCGCCTGAGAACTCAGGGAGTGACTGGGACAGTGCTCCAGAGACTATGGGAGACAGGGGTCAGCCTAAGGCTGAGAACTCCAGGAGACAAGTGAATAGGGGGGGCCCCCCTGAATGGAGCAGGGACTCTGCCAACTATGGAGATACTGAGCGACTGGGGAACAGAAGGAACTCCCCCAAACTGAGCATGGATGTGCCCAGCTTTGAGGAGTCCAGGAAACTGGATGCTAGGGGAGTGATCCCCACAGTGGAAGGCAATGCCCCAAACTCAGAAGATCCTAAAGGACAAGGGACATTTCTTAAATGGAGAACAAACCCCTCCAACCCTGAGGCTCCTGTGGAGAAAGTAGGACATCACCAGAGGCTGCTGGGCTGGCTTCAGGGGGAAACAAATAGAGGGTTGGGGGCCCACCCACAGTTCTTAGGGGGCTCTGAGGAGTGGCTCCAGATCTCTACCAACCTGACCCTGCACTTGCTGGAACTGCTGGCTTCAGCTCTGCTGGGACTATGTTCCAAGCCCCTGCGCCTGGTCCTAGATGCCTTAGGTCTTCGGGGGCCTTTGGGGCTCTGGCTGCATGGGCTTCTCTCCTTCCTTGTTACCCTCCATGGACTTCACATGGCCCTCACCCTGCTCACTGCACACCCCTTCCACTTTGCCTGCCTCTTTGGCCTTCTGCAGGCCCTGGTACTGGCAGTCAGTCTCCGTGAGGGCACCCAGGTGTCAAGGGAGGAAGAGGAATACAAATGGGAGGGGGGAAAAGGAAGAGATAGAGAGGAGGAAGATGAGATTAAAGGAAGGGAGGGCCTGTGACCTTGGTGTTTGGGAATTGTCTCAGGGTTAAGGAACACCAGGACTTCAGGGAAGGGAGAGAGATCCTTAGGGTGGGGAAAGGGGCCCATAGAGACCCCTTCCCCCCTGCAACAGGGCTTGGGCACTCAAAGTAGGGGGAGTTACCCTCTAATTCACCAGCTATTTGTCACTTTTTCTTTAGTGTTATTCCTCCCCCAATTAAAAAAAATAAAAAGGAACTCCCTCTACCCCTTCTATTTCCCCTAGGGGATAAGGACTCTAGTAACCCTGGGTCCTGGGAGAGGGAGGGGAAAGCAGGGGGATCTATTGGATACTAGGATCTGAGCCATAAGTGGATAAAGGGGAGGGGTGTCAGGTATAAAGCTGATGGATCACAGAAGTGTGGGTTGAGGAGAGATGTGCTTGGAACTGGAGATCCAGTTAGACTCTCCAGGAAACCCAGCAAGAAGCCTTGGGATACGACAGCAGAGGCCTAGGGAGACACCCATGCCCATTTAGAGAGTTTGGAGGCTTAATCACTGAGCAATCACTGTTGTACTGATCTCCTAAATATACCACTACAAAAGGGAAGTTAACACTGCTTCCGGTCTTCTTCCTGTCGACAATGAAGCCAAAGTTGGGTGTCTGGGGACAGTGAATTATTTTCAGGGAAAAAAGGGTAGGGAAGGAGAGTGAAATTGGTGCCTGTAGACTAGCTTCAGGAAAAGACAAAGGTCAGAAAAATCATCTTTATTGTTCTTGAAGGCAGCAAGAAGTCTCCAGCTCCCTAGAGGGCACAGGTCAGTCACTGAACAACTCACAGGCCTCTGGAGGGAAGAGAGAGTAGGAATGAAGCAGAAGAGGGAGGAGAGAATGAAAGAAAAATGAAGGAAAAAGGAAAATTTGGAGGGATGTGGCTCCCTCCTTAAAAAAATTTTGAGGCCTGTGTTTTAGATACCACCTCCTATATCTACTGAGATCTCTGAAATGATCCCTTCTAGGAGGTTGAGGCCTACCTTGACCTGCACCTCTCCTCCCCCTCTTCCCCCCTGCCATGGCCACAGAATTCCCTTGGCCAAGATCCTTTTTCTAAATCCCATCTCTTTCCCTTTGAAGAATCCACCCCTCTTTGTTGATATCTCAGAGGTCTTCTCACCTATCTCCCTGGGGGTCTGCAGGAAGGCTTTTGAGTTCAAAGAAAAGGTCAGGGACTGAAATTCATTCACACATTCTTCAGGGGGTTGTGGGGATCGGTCTGGAGAGGAAAGGAAAGAATGATACTGATCCCCCCAACAAACACTCCCACCTCCTTGCTCCCAGATTCCATATCTCTGGGAATGACATCATAGACCTCCAGAGCACCACTCCCCTCTCGTGATGTCACCATGCTCTTTCCAGGTATGAGTGTGGGAGAGTGAGTAAAGCTTCTATCACCTTGTAGAATTTCTACCTCCTATTTTGCATGGACACTCACTGTAGAGGAGGAAGCGCTGGTAACCTTGTCCTGTCTCTCTCAGCATGATCCCATCTGGGCAAGAGCTGGAGAAGAGTTCAGTCTTCATATCAGGGCGGCCTGTTGTAGAGTAGGAGGTGGCAAAGATTGGAGTGGGAGTGGATAGGGGAAGAACTGGGTGGGAAGGGAGTTGGAGAACATAAAGGAAAGATATGGAGAATGGGTAACCAACCTTCAGTCTTGAGATCTGTGCTCCCTTCAGTCAGATGGTAAGTCCATTCTCGGGGTACACAGTGCCCATTTTTCCTGGGAAGTTTGGAGTAGGATGGAAGAATAAGTGACCCTTCCCTCCACACAAACAGATACCTTTCACCAATCCTTTCTTCCCTTCCATTTAATGCAACCCATTCAGCAAAGAGCTGGTTTTCTTTGTCTTAGAGAAGACAACTGGGCAGGCAGAAGGATTTTGTATCTGTTAATCAGGATACTACCTAGGGATGAACTAGAGACTAGAGTCAGCTAAACAAAAGAGGTCAAGATACTAGGTGGCTGACTAATCAGGGCCCATGATGGAATCCCAATTATCTAATGGGGAAAGGTCAGCTGCACTTAGCAGCTGAGAACGGCCCAATTAGAAACCTAACCTTAGTTCAGACTCTGACTTTGGGAATTTCTGGCTTGAAATAATAAATGGAGAGAAAGGTACCTGATGGGATACCTTTCCCCACAACTTACATTCTGATGGTCGCCCGTAGTTGGAGCTTTTGGGGAACATGGCTAGCAGCCATGTCAAAGAGAATGTTGTCCATTGGGACAAAGATTGCCAGTTCCTCCTGGGTAGAAGCTGCACCCGCAATGAAGTACCATTGACCCAGGTAGGGTCCAGGGAACTGGATGAGGAAGACAGGGGAAGGAGGGAATGGAATCAATCACAAACTCTCCCTTTGCAGATAATTTTAAGTTGGTATTACCCTTCCCTCAACCTGATCCCCCAGTGGCTCTGGAACTAGGGATGATCTTCCATTTCACTTGCCCCAGGTCACTCCTATCCCTCTTAAGGCTTTTTCATTTGTCAGGTCCTTTGGGCTTACTACTCTAATGGTCTCAGTACTCTTTTCTAGCTCCTTTTCTTGTCACCACTATCCCCATATCATCTTGTACCTCCAGATGTCCTCCAGGTTCCCCTCCTTAAGACCCTCAAAATCTCTTTTACAGACTACCAAAGCCCTGCTTAATTTCCTCCTGTTGTCTTTCCATTACCCTCCTCCCTGCCCCCATACCTCTTTTCCTTTTACTCCCAGAGGATTTAATTGATGAGGCTTACAACTCTGGCAAATGGAGTCATAAAGAATCCCGAAGAGGTAAAAGAAAGCTGCCAGAATTTGGTGGAACATCCTCAAAGACTATAGTGCAGGGGTGGCAGCTGCCTGAAACCACTCTCTTCTGGGAGTTTTGTCCACTGCAGCCTCTGGCCCCCTTTCCTCAACCCTTGACCCCCTGGATCTGCTAATGAGTAACTCTAGTCTTGTTTTCCAACTCAACTCTGGGTTGTTGACAGTGTTCTGGGCTTTCCTCCCCCTCCTCAAATTACACACCAGCAGCATAGCTGGGAGCTTAGACCTGGTCAGGGGATGGGAAGGGTGCAACCTTCTAACTGGAGGACTCCTCCCCTCCCCAATTCATTCATTCACTACCAGTAATTATTATATACCATATTCATAGCACCATGTCTGGTAAGATAGAGAATATAGACAAAAGCCCTGTCCTCAAAGAGCTTATTATCTAATTAAGGAGACAAACACTCCAGCAAAAGCACTACATTAAAAAGTAATTATTAAGTACCTTTTGTATACAGAACACTATGCTGGGCACAGAGAAAGATACATAATATTAGATTTCAGAGAAATCTAAAAAGTCACCTTGTCCAAACCCTGCATTTTAAACAAATAAGCAAACTGAGGTCCTGAAAGGGGGAGTGATTTATCTAAGGTCACACTGCTACTAAGCAGCAGAGTTGGCAATCAATCCAACTCTTCTGACTCCAAGTCCAGTACTCTTTAAAAATTTTTTTTAAAGTTTATTTATTTTTAGTTTTCAATATTTACTTCCATAAGATTTTGAGTTCCAAATTTTTTCCCTTTCCTCCCCTCCCCCCATCCCAAGACGGCATGCAATCTGATATGGGCTCTACATATATATTCAGATTAAACATTTTCACGTTAGTCATGTTGTAAAGACAAGTCCAGTACTCTTTCCATTAAACCAAATTACCTTCTGCTATCTATCCTCACTGAACTCACAATCTCATAGTCTATAAAACATACAAGTAACTATAGCACAAAGAACAAAAGTATATGATGCAAACAAAATGCACCTAACTGTAAAATAGTAGGGTCAGTTGGGGGATGAGAAGGAGCAGACAGAGAAGGCTACCACTACCTGAAGGAGATGTCACTTGAAGGTGGCCTTAGAGGATGAATAGGATCAGGAGGTGAGAAAGTTTGGGAAGCAAATAATTCCATTTTGCAGAAGCTTAAATGTACAAAAAGAAATGCATACAATGGTTAAACAACAGTGGGAAACTACGATTCAAGAGAAATTTTAGGACATTATAGTATAGCTAAACTTTTAAAATCTGAGTTGGAACCCTGCTCAACAAGGAACATATAATCCACTACCTCCCCTCCACCCCCCCAAGCAGGGGCCATATACCTATACCTTAAAAAGAATCCACTCTACATCATACCCTACTCCTGATCATCTGGTGTTTGCTTGAATAACTCCAGTGAGGGGAAACCCACCATCTAAAGAGGCAGCACCCCCTTCCACTTGGGGAGGGTTCCATTAGGAAGAAGCCCAGTATATCTGTCCATTGTTCCAAGTTATGCCAGCTGGGACCACAGAGAAATTGTATAATTACTTTAACAGATGACAACTCTTCAACCAGTTATGTATATATTTGTATATGTGTGTTCACGTATGTATATTAGGGACAGCTAAATGGCCCTGGAGTCAGGAAGACCCGAGTTCATATTTGGCCTCAGACACTTACTAGCTGTGTGACTGTGAGCAAGTCACTTAGCCCTGTTTGTCTCAGTTTCCTCATTTAACTGGAGAAGGAAAACAGCAAACTATTCCACCCCTATCTTTGCCAAGAAAACCTCAAACGAGGTCACCAAGAGTTGGACACAACTGAACAACAAATGTATATGTGTGGGTATATATGTTATAGGTAAAATTCCTCCAAGTCCTTCACCATCCTGGTTGTCCTCCCTTGGATGCCTCCCAGTTCCTCACTGTCTTTTCTAAAATGTGGTACCTTGAAGTGAACACAGTACTCCAGGTGTGATCTGACCAGGGCTGAGTATCACAAAACTACAACATATCTCTTTTCATGCAGCCTATTATAAATCTTATAGGGAGGAAAAATAGGGCTTCAGCTGAGATCTAATTGGTTGGATTTAAGTAGGTAATTCATGAAATTGCACTGGGTAAATCAATTTTTGTCTTTAGCACATCTGAAGGCCCGATGCAAAAAAAAAAATCATCTTGACAGCAAAAGCTATCTAAAAGCAGAATGGGCTGTTAAAAAGTACTAGTTCTCTCTCAACCAGGTCTTCAAAGCGGAGTCTTGAAGACCACTTAGTTGGAGATTTCATGGGGAGGAGCTTTTGTTGTGGTATGGGTTGGAATAAGGTTCCTTACAATTTTGAAACTGCGACCCTCCTAGCCCCAGGGGGACCTCCAAAGATCGTACCTAACCAGGCAGCACCACTCTCTCGACTTGTCACCTCTTTCTATGGACCAGACCTCCTCTGGTTCCCCCATTCCCGATCTATAGTTTCTCTGGCTGCCAGTTACACCATCCATTTCCCTTCCCCTACTAGCTTAACCAAGAGTAACAAAATGGCAGCAATCTCCACCCTCACAAAATATGGTGCCCTCTTTTCCTCTCCCCCGCCCCCTCAATTTAAAGCAGATAGTCCCTCAGCAGAGATATCAACGAGTGGCTTTATTACCCTCGTGACACTTAGGAATGAAAAAAAACCAAACCCGCCCACGCCTTAATTCCACCCTGGAAAAACTTCGCGTTGCCCAAAAGAAATATGGCCGCTGCTCGTGCCCCTGAATCAACATGGTGGGTAGGCCCAACCTTCACCGCCCCTAACCGCCTTGTTGGAAGGTTACCTAAGAAGGCATGGGAATGGGTTTATTTTAGGTATCTAAAATATTGCCGTCCGATGGAGGGTGCCAACCACGAATTTCCTCACGTATGACAGGGGCAAACCGAATGCCAAAGGCATACTAGAGCACAGGTCTTTCGTGAGGTGGGCGGAAAGCCCCAGTTCAAAAAGCACTTTCAGGCATTTATTGTAGTCATCCGCTACGCGACCTCCCCACCCTCCTCGCGCGGTGGCGCAGGCGCGCATTGTAGGCTGGTGAATCCAATCAGTGGGGCGGGTCCTCAAGCATGTGCGCAGGCGCAGTGTGGTTTGCGCAAGCGCAGTAAGGTCCCCCGGGAGGCGGCGACGGTGGCTCCTCTGGGTGCTCGGCTCCCTCCCACCTAGGCCGGGCCCCGACTCGTTTCCTCTTAGGGGCTCCCCGGTACTCGGGGCCGCCCCTTTCCTCGTCGTACCCCACAGAAGGAAATCTTGGGGATCGGGGGAACCGGAAGTGCCGTCTCGCGACCCCCCCGTTTCTATCGGGGAACAGGAAGTGTCCGTAGGCGGAAGCTTGGGGGCAGGACCGGAAGTGGCGTTGCCGCCGGGAGGCAGGGGGCGGAGCCGCGGGGCAGGTGTGTGTATGTGTGTTGTGTGTGTACCAGCTAGTGTGTGTGTGTGTGTGTGTGTGTGTGTACGTATATGTATGTATGTGTGTTTGTGTTTGTGCGTAGTTCTCATTTTGCCATCGAGGGGAGGGGGTGACATCCAGCTAGACCGGGGCCTCCCTTTTCTGTCCGTCATTGTCCCGATTTCCTGATCTGTCGCGACCGAAGCAGGCTCGAGGGCTCCCTATCGCGGTGGGCGTGGCATGGTGCTAGTGCGTGGCGCATGCCTCACAGGTCCTTTCTCATCTTCTTTATAGAAGGGGCTTATCCCAACCTTATTCAGGCCTTTACCCTAAACCCCTCCCCCTGCCCCCCCATTCTCTTTCTCATTCGTGTCAACCTTTGGGTCATGATTCCTGGCCTGACAGATGCTGCCGTGATGTTATTATAGGTGTTATTATATTATGATATGTTGTGTTATTGTGTTATTATATTATTATAGGTGTTATTTCAGATCCTCTCCCCTGCTCCTGTTTTTTCTCTCCCCTGCTCCTGTTTTTTCTCTCCCCCTCACCCAGGGTTGGAAGTAGGATGTGTGTGTGCTTGGAGTTGGGGTGGGAATTGGATTCCTTGGGGAGCTATGGTAGAGTTTGGATCAGCACTTGGGATGTAGGAACTTAGCTAGGCCCTGTGATAATGACTTAGTCTTCCTCTCTCCTTTCTCCAGTGTGTTGGTCATGGAACCCAGTGACAGTAGCAGCAGTGCTATGGAGGAACCAGCCAGCTTGGAGGTACTGGTGAAGACCTTGGATTCCCAGACTCGAACCTTCACTGTGGGGGCTGAGGTGAGAGCTGAGGGTTCAGAGGTTTTGGGAGATTTTGTAAAAGGCTTTCCCTTAACCACCTTTTCATCCTGAGGCAAGAACCCCCAGATTCTCTGTCTTCTATTTACGTATATTATTCATATTGAACGTCAGTTAGTGGGTTTTAGAACTGGAAAGTAGTTTAGAGATCATCTAGTTCTCTTCATTTTGTAGATAAAGACATAACTCATGAAAGTGTTCTGATTATTGTTTGGGTCATAGGGAGATAGAATTCCTAAGAGCATGGTCTCTCTGCCTCTGTTGTATGTATAAGTATACTCTTAGGAGAATCCTAGAGGCAAAAAGAGTTTGTATTTCTTGTCCTTGAAGAGCCTCCAGCTGTAAAGAGAAAGGAGAGCGACCTGTGGAGGGGAGGGGGGGGTTGGGGGCAGGGTACACTGGCAGAAACTGCAAGTAGACTTGAGAAAGTATGAGGATAATTAGGGATGTTTTTTCCTTTAACGTCGCTGGCTCATCATAGTTTGGCTTTCTAAGGCAAGGCCAACAAAACTGCAAATCTTCCGAGTCCCACCACGCTGGAAAGGCTTTGATTATGGATCCAGCAGTGTACTAAAAACTTGTCATTTGAGAAATACCGTACTCAAAAGAGGTTGATCATCACAGGATTGGCCTGCAGACAATAAATTTTTTTGTTACAATAGTTTATTAAATTGTTAAGTATTAGAATACTTGTGATCTATGTCAGTAGGGAAAGTACAATATGGGTGAAATTGAAGAGCCTAGAAATAGGGTTGTTTGGTGATATTCCCAAATTTTGAAATCTCATGGAGAAAAACCATTGATCACTCCAAAACATTTCCTGGTATCTGGAACTGGGACAAATTACTGGTTTGGGATACACCATAAGTCTGGTCTAGTCAATCAGTATTGTGGAAATAATAGTACACTTGTAGGTAGGAAAGATGTGGGTTTGATTCCTGGCTCTGATACTAGCTAAATGATCTTGGGTGAAATCACTAACCATCTCTAAACCTAGATTTCCTTATGGGTGAAATAGAGATGATAGATTTGTAATACCTATCTTACTGTGTTGATTGCTTTGGCAAAACCTGTAAAATGCTACATAAATTTTTTTACTATTGTTAACTTCTTGTATAGACAGCAATGGTAAGAATTTTATTTATATGTATGTATGTATTACACGTACATATATACATGTTTATGCATGCACGTATAGATAGATATACAAAAAGCCCATTTCTTTGGGTATGCATGAGTCACTAATCTAGTTTGATAAACTAAACACAGTCTGGGAACCTGTGCCTGATTACAGTTCCTTTTCCCCCACAAATGTTCCCATATTTAGTCATACCTATACCAAGGACATTCCTACCTGTAATTTCAGATATAGAACCAAAGAGAAGGGAGAAAACGTAGAGCTTGATGGAATCTGTTCTTATATTCTAATTCTCTCCTGGACCTGCCATTTAATTTCCATTTAAAACCTTTGCTGTGATTTCACATCATATTGCTTTTCTTCTCAGTGGGTAGGGGAGGGACTAGGAGGGAGGAAGGGAGAGAATTTGGAATTCAAAATTTAAAAAGAAAAGAATGTTAAAAAATAAATAGTAAATTACAATTTTTAAAATTGGTGTTTTCTATCAAGTATTTCTTAGCACAGAACTTTTCAGGCAGTGGATGCTTCATAAATGTAATAAAATGGACAGGGACTTTTATAACTGTTAAATGACTCACCTTCCACCCCCACTGATTTCCTGATGTTCTGCATTAGATATTTTCTGACCTTTCTTCCTGTTCCTTTTTGTCTCTGCAGATGACAGTGAAGGAATTTAAGGAGCATATTGCTGCCTCAGTCAGCATCCCTTCTGAGAAACAGAGACTCATATATCAGGGCCGAGTTCTGCAGGATGAGAAGAAGCTACAGGAATACAGTGAGGGGCTGGATGGGGCTTTAGGAGAAAGGTTATGTGCTGGGTAAGGAGGAGGGTTGAGGTACTTAGCTGACTCTTCCCTTACTCCTCTCTTCCCTTTTTTTCTTTACTACAGATGTTGGGGGAAAGGTGATCCACCTAGTGGAGCGGGCCCCTCCACAGACCCAGCCTCCATCTTCTGGGGTTGCCTTGGGGGCAGGATCTCCCTCAGCTACCCATGGTGGGGGGCCCCCATCTGGTCCTCGAGGTCCTGGTGCACCTGTCCACGACAGGAATGCTAACAGTTATGTCATGGTTGGGACCTTCAATCTCCCTGTAAGCTGAAGGGCAAAGCTGTGACTTTGATGAGGGGCAGGAGGGGGGTGGTTGATGGAAGTGGCTCGGTGGGAAAAATTGGAAGGCCAGATACTTAGGTCTTTGGGTTGGCAGGTGGGGATCTGGAGGGCCTGATAACCTATCTCTTTCTTGGGTAGTGAGGCTGGAGGGAGAGAGTTGGGGGTGGGGGCATGGATACCTGAGTTCTCCTAGAGCTCAGTTGTCACAGCATCCTCTCTTCCCCTTCCCTGCCCCTTCCCTCCCCTCCCCCCTCCCCCCAGAGCGACGGCTCTGCTGTGGATGTTCATATAAACATGGAACAGGCGCCAATCCAGGTATCCAGGGGCTGGGAACATTAGGGCAGGGTATTTGGGAGGGAATGAATTTGAGATGGGGATTTGTACACAATGTGCAGTGTGTACATGGAATTATCTACTCAGTGCAGAGATTACATCTATTATGTGTCCTGGCTACCACGTTTTAGGAAAGACATTGATAAGCTGAAGAGCATCTGGAGGAGGGCAACTAGAATGGTGAAGGGCCTCAACATCATGTCATATGAGAACTGGTTGAAGGAATTGAGGATGTCTAGCCTAGAGAAGGGAAGACATAGGGAGGATGTGATGGTTGTCTTCAAGTACTTGAAGGGTTGTCATGTAGAAGAGGGATGAGCCTTTTTCTGCTTAGCCCCAGAGGGCAGAACTAGAAGCCATGGATTGAAGTTGCAGAGAGGCAGATTTAGACATGCTATAAAGAAAAACTAACCAGCAGCTAGATTCTAATCCAAATGTGTAATGGGCTGCCTCAGAAGGCAGTGAGTTCCCTCTCACTGCAGGTCTTTGAGGAAAGGCTGGATGACCAGTTGATGGGTATGTTGTAGAGTGAATTCTTTTTCAGGTATGGGTTGAACTATCCGGCCTCTGAGGTTCCTTCCAACTGCAGATTCTGTGAGAAAGCAGAGGCCTGGTTTGGGTAGGATTATGGGGCTAATGTTTTCACCTGTGTTTTGACCATTTGCTTTTTCTGTGCTTGATTTTTTATTTCCAGAGTGAGCCTCGTGTTCGACTGGTTATGGCCCAGCACATGCTGAGAGATATACAGGCTGTGCTATCCCGTTTGGAGGTAGATGGGGAAAGGTTGATGCAAATTTATTCTTGGGCTGTTCCTCCTCAGAATTTGTCTGGGGGTGTGGCCATATTAAGTTTCTGTGTCTCTATCATTGCTTCCACTTCAGTTTTCTCTATTTCCTTCTGAGATTTTTGGGGGAAGGACAGGGACTTGGAGAAGTCTTATATTCTATCTGGATCATGTCCCTGAGTCCAGGAAGCTATTTCCTGGTTCCTTTCACACAAAGAAGAACCTTTACTGTTTTTAAAGCCTTTTCCCTTCCAAGTGGAAAAATGTCCCATGGTTTTTTTTAAGGTCCCTCATTCCAGTGCTTTAAAAATAGTGCTTACTGGAAGATTTTTAATTTGGTCTCATCTGAGTTGCTCCTGTGACAGCATCAGCCAGTTAATTATCTTGGGCTCTGTCCTCCTTGGAGTTGAGAAGTAGTTCTCTGTCTCCTTTCTTACTTTCTGCTGATGATATGTTCAGAGAACTTAAATATTGAAATTCAGTGTTTTGTATTTCAAATTGTATAACCTTTTACTTTTGACTCAATCTCCCCTCAGTAACCTTCTTCCCTCTTAACCTTTAGGGCCGAGCCAATGGAGGGCAGCTTCAGCAGCAGCAGGCACCACCACCTTCTGCTCCAGAGTCATCGTCCTTAAGCTCAGAGACTCCTGAACCAGCAGAGGGTGAAGCTTCCTCTCGAGAGCCTATGGAAGCGGGAGACCCAGAGGAAAGCACCCAGCCCCGGAGCCCTGAGCCCTCTCCTCCTGGCCCAGCCCCAGCTCCCAAGTGAGTGATTCTCAGTGGCAGGGGAAGTAAGGTTAGAGGATGAGGAGGGAGGTGAGTGAGATGGAGCAAGGCATTGTTGGGAAGGAGAGATTGGCTAGAGGCTGCACTTTACCTGTTGAAGGAAAAGTGAAGTAGATGAAGATTCTTAGGTAGGATAGGTAAATAAAGAGGTATGTAAATATGAACCTAAGAAGTAGGGTTATAATTAACTCAGTGAAAGTGCTGGCTCCTTCTATTCCTGTAAAGTCTTACCTTCCCCCAGTTTTTGGCTAGGAAGGAAAATTCTGTTTCTGGTTCTTCTGATAGAAAAACTTAGGAGCAGTAACATGCTCTTGGCTCCAAGGAATAGGTCAGGGAGAGAGAGGGTGTGCACACTGGGGCCTAGGAGATCTCTGAAGTCCTTAATGAAGGCCCTGCCATCATCTCCTGTAGCCATCCATCCCCTTCGGAGTATGTCGAAGTGCTTCAGGAGCTACAACGGGTAGAGAGCCGACTCCAACCCTTTCTACAGCGATACCATGAAATACTGGGATCTGCTGCCACCACTGACTACAACAATAATGTGAGCATTTTCTTATGTCCCTTTTCTTATCCCTTGATTTAAAGGTAGAACTGGTTTTGAAATCTACCAGCCTACCCAGGGTGGATATCACATTGTTCATTTAATGTTTCCCCTTCATAGCAGTATAGAATTAGAATGGTCCAAACAAACCTTCTCTGTATGCCATTGGAATAGTCCAAATAATCATCCTGAACATACATACAGTACTCTGAACATTTTTTTACTCTGTTCTCCATCCCTGTTTCCCTGCCCCAGTAGCTGGTGTAGGTATACTCTTCTTTAAGCAAACTCTTACGTGAAATTTGAATATGAGAACATGGCTTTGAAAAACTGACTGATGATTTTAAAAGGAATCACCATAAAGATTCCTTCCAATAGCTAGCTCCCTTTACTGCAATTAAATTTGCAGAAATTTAGTTGATACAGAATTATATCTGAACAAAGCTTTTCAATAAAAGTAGAGATACATTCTTGCTTTTCTCTTTTTCCCTTCCTATTACATGGAATTGCTGTTTTTGTGGCTCTTTATTTCTTATTTATAAAAAACGTTTTGTTAGAAATTCAATATTAAACATCAATGCTAACAACTATACTTGTTTAATAATTAGCTACATTTTAATTAATTTTGATGCTTAATGTATCATAACATTTTCTCAGTTTTTTTCCTTTAAGTCACTATGTCCACTTATTCTTAGATATTTTTCTTCATATGATTGTAATTAGTGTGTATTCCATTCTTCCGGTTATGTTTTTTCATTTTTTGCAATAATGCAATATGGTAATGTTAACTAAATAATGCAATAATTTTACATTATTTTATAAAAGTATTTCCAGATTTCTTTGTATTCCTAATGCTTATCGATTGTAATTGCTTTATAATGTTCTGTGATACTAATGTGCATATAAGATTTTTAGGTCACTTCAATGTTTAGAAATTACTGCATGTGTAATGCTGCTGTGAAAAAATCTATAAATAGACAACTTTTTTTTTTTTTTAATAACTATCAGGCATATTCCCAACAATGAAATTACGGGGTCAAAGGGTATGATTGGCTCTTTTTCTACAGAAGGTGATACCATTTCAAGGAGAGGTGGTAGTTCCAACCAGTTCTTCTCCCCTTACTTTTTCTTTTCTTCTCTCCCTGTTTCTGGGTGTGGGGCAATGGTTTCAGACCGAGGGGCGTGAAGAGGATCAGCGAGTGATCAATTTGGTTGGAGAGAGCTTGCGATTGCTGGGTAACACCTTTGTGGCATTGTCTGACCTACGCTGCAACTTGGCATGTGCCCCTCCTCGACACCTGCATGTTGTCCGGCCGATGTCTCATTACACAGCTCCCATGGTGCTGCAGCAGGCTGCTATCCCCATTCAGGTCAGTGCAGGAAGAGTCTAGGGTGAAGGGTTGATGTGGTATACACTAAGGAGTGATCTGTGGGGTTCTGTGGTATGGGAGTGAGTAGTGTTTATTGGAGAGTCAGTGCTGAGTGAGTCAGAGGAGGGTGGTGAGATGGAGCAAAGGCTCTCAGCAGAGGAATGAGCAGTGAACACTGGCATGGAACAAGAGATGTGAGAGCCAGATAACTGGTAAAAAGCAAGAGAAGAACATGGATGAGGAGTTATGTTTGTGGCTCCAAGTTGTCTTGTTTTTCTCTCTGTTCGTCTTTCCCAACTAGATCAATGTGGGGACAACTGTGACCATGACTGGGAACGGGACCAGGCCACCCCCAACCCCTAGCTCAGAGGCACCGCCCTCTGCTCCTGGGCAGACTTCCCCTCCAGCGCCTTCTCCTACTACAGGGGAGCCTGCAGCTGAGGGGGCTCCTCCCCCAGGCCCAGCCCCACCCCCTGGACCTGGCCATCCCAGAGTTATCAGGATTTCCCACCAGAGTGTAGAACCTGTCGTCATGATGCACATGAACATCCAGGGTGAGCTGGGAGAATCTGTGATTTGGCAAGAGGACAAAGTAGATCAGAGTCAGGGTTATTTGTAGCAGCAGGAGGAGGGAATGAGTTAGGTTTAACAGTGGAAGAGAGGAGCATGGCTGTAGTGCTGTAGGAAGATCCCTGAGTTAGGAGCCAGGAATCATTGATTTTGGCTGGTCCTGGCTCTACCATGAACTTTTCTACTATGAACTTTGGGATCTTTTCACCTCTTGGTAAACATGTGACATGTTCTTATGCAGGGGGTTGAACATCTAAGGTCTTTTTAGTCTGAAGATTGGTGGTATAGGGTTTTCTTTACCAAAGTTTACTATAGAGTTAGGGAGAGGGCTGAGAGTATCTTAGCATAGGAGAGACAATGCAAAATTTGTCTGATTAGAGCTAGAGACCAAGAAAGGGAGGACATAAAGACCTTTGGAGGAGAGATAGTAAGTTCCTTACCCTGTCTCTGTGTTTGATTTAATGTTTCCTTTTTTTTTTTCCTTCCAGATTCTAGTTCACAGACAGGTAGTGTTCCCAGTGCCCCAACTGGTCCTTCAGGCCCTCCTGGTCATGGCCAGGCCTTGGGTAAGAATGAGGGAATTTCTGGGAGGGGGAAGGAGGAAATAGGATTAGAATTAGAAGACTAAAGGAATATGGGCATCAGTATTCAATTTGTCTCCTTCCTTTCTAGGCTCCACTCATATTCAGCTACCTTCCCTGCCTCCTGAGTTCATGCAAGCTGTTGCTCACCAAATCACTCAGCAGGCCATGGCAGCAGCTGCTGCCTCTGCAGCTACAGGTAACCAGTCTCACTGGAGGGGAGAAGGTCTAGGAAAGAAGGTAGTGGGTAATCAGTTACTAGGTTTGGGTCATTTCAGGAGGGTGGGAATTGGGAGGAATAGGACCTCAGCTTTTTGGTTTTCTCCCATATGTACCCTCAGGACAGCAAGTTCCAGGCTTTCCATCAGCTCCTACAAGAGTGGTGATTGCTCGGCCTACCCCTCCCCAGGCTCGACCCCCCCACCCTGGTGGGCCACCTGCCCCTGGAGTTGTGGTGAGTGAGGTAGAAGGGAAATGGGTAGAGATGGGTACTGAAATACAATGGAGTTTTTTTTTAGGTTGCTATTATAACATTTCTTATGCTATGGGTTAATAGAAATAGCAAAGAACCGAAGAATTAAGATGCAAGCTATGTAAAATCCCAACTAAAACCCAAATGTGTCTAATGTATTCATTCAGTAGCTGACTAAAAACCCAAGAAAGACAACACTCTGGATATAATGAAGTACTGCAAAACAACTGGCAGTTTTCAGTTATCAAAACTGTGGGTTTGGCATTTTATTTTATATCCTTTTCTCAATCAGGAAAAAACTTTTTGAATGTTATATAACATACATATAAAGCAAGATAGGAAAATACATTATAAACTTGTAACAGTGGCTGTAAATACATTATCTTACATGTTTCTCATAGGCAGTAGGTTGCTTATGGTACATACATAGCATGAAACTACTATGATAATAAAGAATAGACAAAATACATGTCAGCTGTATGGTAGCATACGAGTGCCACTCTCATCTACCCACTCAAAAAATTACAAAATACTGTCAGAAAAAAAAGTCTTAAAACTACGTATTTTAATAAGAAGTAAATTCAGTAGAGAATGATAATACTGAGAACCGAGGCATTCAGAGATTTGTAAAGTCAGCTTTTTTTTTTTTTAAGTCAGTCCAAAATTTTGTCAACTAAGAGTGGAGTTTTGAGGAGAGGTTATTGGAGCAAGATAGAGGAATCTTGGGTGTATAGGTGGATAGGACCCAAATCTTTCCCCTTTTCTTCTTTCAGGGTCCAGGGTTGGGGCCAAATGCATCTCTGGCTCAGATGGTGAGCGGACTGGTAGGACAGCTTCTCATGCAGCCTGTGCTTGTGGGTAAGATCTTTTCCACTCTACTTCTTGACCCCTCAAAAAAGAGAGCAAAAATTCTTATTCCTTCTCTCCCTGTTATCTCTTGCTTCTTCCTAAACCGTCCTACTTATTTTTCTCAGTCCAACTTAAGATGTGAAAGTCTAGGGGGCAAAAAAGCTAGAACTTTTTTTTTTTTGATTTATTCTAAAAATCACAATTTTTTTAAAAAAAGATTGAATGTTTTTCTTTTGTCCCTATTTCTTTCTATGGCAAAAGATAAGCTTATGGAAAAAATCATACATATTTTTATGTATCTGAATGAATTATGAGTTATATTCTTTAAAAGACATTCCTCTGACTTCAAAGTTATAGCAGTTTTTTTTTTTTTAATTTTGCTGGGACGAATTAGCCAGTCCTTTCCATTTACAGATGAGGAACTGAGGCCCAGAGAGAAATTGTTTGTCCAAGGTCAAGACTAGAACACTGTTCTCTGGCATCCTAGTCCTGTTCTCTTTCTACCATACCATTTGTCTTTCATCTCCAGTCTCAGCCCCCTCCCTAACATTGCCCCATATCCAAATTCCCAGCGGACTTCTCCATTTCCCTTTTTGACTTCTCCAAGTTGTCTTTCTTTTTACCTTTTGTCGTCATCTTATGTCTTTACAACTTTCCCCTTCCTCTGCCTTCTGTAGCTCCCTGGGCCCCTTTCTGGTGGGTTGGTAGTGCCTTGTCTTCTCCATACTGATGGTCTCTCTCCACTTCCTCCCTTCTTCCTTAATAGCTCAGGGGGCCTCAGGCCTGGCTCCACCCTCTGCCCCAGCTACAGCCTCTGCAAGTGCTGGTACCACCAACACAGCCACCACTGCCGGACCGGCCCCAGGAGGACCTGCTCAGGCTCCACCACCACCTCCTCCCACTGAGCTTCAGTTCTCTCAGCTTCTGGGAAATCTGTTGGGGCCTGGAGGGCCAGGAGTTGGAGGGGCCAGTGTAGGCTCTCCCACCATCACTGTGGCCATGCCAGGTGTCCCTGCCTTTCTCCAGGGCATGACAGATTTTCTTCAGGTGAGTGATGAAGTTGCTGATAGGCCTATCTCACAGTCACTATCCCTGCCACTGGAAGTGTGAGCACTGTGACCTCTCCCATGAGGCATTCAGGGAGTGAGGGAAGGTATCTAATTCTTAATTCTTCCTGTTAGTACACCAGTTAATCAGCAAATACTTATTGAGTACTTACTATAAACCTAGCATTTTGTGGGGATGGGGAGAGTACAAGATATACTTTGGATTTTTACCTGTAGGGCCTTAATAAAACTTGTTCTGTAGTCCAGGATTTAACTTCGTTCATTCCCTTCCTTTGTACCATTGGCACAACCTCTCCAGTCTGTTGCATCATCTTCACCCCTGTCTCAGAGGTGGGGTCTCAAGATACATTCTTTAACTTGTTTTCTTCTTTCTAGTTCACGATTTATTTTGTTTTCACTTGCTGCCACTGATTTCCTGTGTTTTTTTATAGGCAACCCAGACTGCTCCACCACCACCCCCTCCACCTCCACCACCTCCTCCTGCTCCAGAACAGGCACCCCCACCACCTGGGTCCCCTCCAGCAGGGCTGGGGGCACGAGGCCAAGGGGGAGTGGGACCTGAGAGCCTGCCTCCTGAGTTCTTCACTTCAGTGGTACAGGGTGTGCTGAGTTCCCTGCTAGGCTCTCTTGGAGCAAGGGCAGGTAGCAGTGAGAGCATTGCAGCCTTTATCCAGCGTCTTAGTGGCTCCAGCAACATTTTTGAACCTGGGGCAGATGGAGCCCTTGGTGAGTGGGGTGAGGGAGCTCGGGGAAACCTTGAGGGAGAAGAAACTTAAGGATGGGATTGGGTCTCTTTGATAGGGAGCTGGGTGTCATCTTCAGGGGGAAACCTTTGGTGGAAGGAGTTATTGGTCTGGCTCAGTGTGGTGGGTAGGAAGGAAGACCCCAAAATGACCAAAAGAACT